GATCATAAGCAGCCTTTATAGACAAACATCTTGATGGAGAAAAATAAAAGAAGGTAATTAAGAAAAACAAAAATGCCTGATGATTGAAGGTGTCAGTGGGGTTGGAGATAAAAGCTATAGATGTGGAACACCAGGGTAAAAGACAAATCACAAAAGAGCAAATCTAAGGGGTTTAAGCAGGGTCCATATACATGAAGTATAAACAAGGATCAAAGTTTAGGTTAGTGAACAGATACAAAGCATATATCAAGGGGCAAATCCACAAACACGATCAGAGGACAAAGTCAAGGTTCATAACATTAAGTTCAAATCAGGTACTTAACATTGCACACAATACAGAAGACAAATGAGCAAGTCTTAAATATAGTGAAAAACCTACACCTGCAACAAGGGTACAACAATGGTGTACAGTATCCTTTAAGAAAACCAAACAGAAAAAAAAAACCACAAAAAAGCTTTATACCCAAAATAATTATGCATGCGTAGTTTATTTCATTTTTATTGCAACAGTACAGTGTATTAGTACATTAGGAACAATGTATACTGCTGTTGTACACACATGGTCAAACAAACTATCTGTTGGAGGAACACAATGTAACAACATTTCTGTGACCTAAAAGGGTCACAACATATTTGGAACAGGATTTGAGGGGCTGCTACTATTCATGCCTGTGTAGTGTAATCTTGTGCTGGTGGGAACAAGATAGGAACATTCGGGAGAAATCCGGAACAAATTTAACTTTCAGTCTGGCGTAAGTGTAGCTGAAGCATTTCATGTATACCATTATATTAACAGACTGCTGGCTTGTCCGGTGTTGTTGAGAAAGAACGATCATGGGCCCCATATGCTTTCGTACGTGCCATATGTACGTGTTAAGGAAAAGTGTACCTCTTCCAAGAGGCGAATGGATTCTACCTTATTGATCCATTCCCGGATCGTAGGCGTTCCTAGTTTTTTCCAGTTTACTGGAATAAGAGCATTAGCTGCTGTGAGCCGATGAGTGATCAGAGATCATGTCAGTCTGTGAAGTAGGTTCGGATAGTGAAAGAAGAGTAAAGTTGCCGGTGTGTTAGGCAACTTGATTGTGAATCATTTTGACAATTTTGGACCAGTATTTGCTAATAATGGGGCAGGTCCACCATATATGACCTGTTGTTCCTTTAGGATGGGAGCATCTCCAACAGGCTGCTGATGCATTTGGGAATTTTTTTTTTTGTATTTTTGACGGCTCTAGTTGCCATCTGGACAATCTTTTGTAATTTCCTTCTTGTGTGTATGCTAATGCTGGATTTATGTACATTAATAAATATGCAATTTCAGTCCTTTTGTGTTAGTGTGATGTTGAGCTCAGACTTATAAGAGCTTGCGTATTTGGGCAAGGAGGGAGATGCTTCCTGCTGCAATATCTTATACATTATTAAAAGATGTTTATTTATTTTTTTTAAACTTGAAGTTTATTTGTGTTTTTGTTCATTCACATATCACAAAACAGTGTGGGTGGGGTGGGGGGGGGTACAGAAGAGAAAGGGTGGGGTTCAGGGTACAGGTTACATGTTACATTGGTTGATTTGTAACTTTATTACATATTTGTAATGGTTCTGGTTGCAACATTCTTGTTCTGGTTGTCAGTTTTACACCTTGTTTTGGTTTATTATATTTGCGTGTACCAGAGTGTGTTTGGGGGAGAGTGCTTTGTTGCTTACATGGTCAGAGTACTTATTTGCCTTGTTTCCCGGTGGTGCATGTACCTCTCTATTTGGTTACGGTTATACCCACATTATTATTATTTTTTTTCCCCTCCTCTCTTCCTCTCCCCCCTGTGGTTATAGGTTGGTGCTCGATACTCCTCTATGTATCATTTGTTGCGTGGTGCATTCGCTCGTTCTCCGGGCGGAGGGGGGAAGAGATTGGGGCTGTGTCTTGTTGCATATTAGTGGGTTGCATGATTTTTTCCCATGTCTTGTGGGCTTTTCGTACACTCGGGCGGGCACCGAATTGTGTCGTTGCCATTAATTCGTATGACCAGTTTTGGTCTATTTGCCTCATAAGCTCGGCTATTGATGGTGTTGTGGTTTGTTTCCATAGCCTGGATATCAGCAAGTTTGCCGATACTAAGGTGTGGTATGTAATGATTCTAATATGTTTTGGGGTGCTAACTGGTAACATGAATAGTAGACACTCCTGTGGCTTATCCACCCTTATGCTATGCATTATTTTTTGAAGCAGTTTGGTCATTGCTTCCCAAAATTGGCTTATTTTGTCACAGGACCACCAGATGTGGAGCATCGTGCCCTCCTCCCTTCCGCACCTCCAGCACAAGTTGCTTGTTTGGGGCCATATTTTGTGTAGCTTTGCTGGTACCAAGTACCATCGGTACATAATTTTACGCTGCAGTTCTAGGTGTGAGGCGCACGCTGTGAGCCCTCGGTGAACCGAATATGACCTCTCCCATTCTTCCTTTGAGAATGTCTGACCTATTTCCCTGTGCCAGTCCTTCTTGATCTGTTCTAGTGTGTGCGTTTGTGTTGAGACTAGCTTATGGTATCCCCATGACATTGCTTTCTTAGTTTTTTTGCTTGCTTTTTTAGTGGTGCTGTTCCTACACATTGTCGTTCGAAGATCGTCATGGCTGTTTCGTCTTCTATTCCCGGTTGGTTTTTTAATTTGCCTGCCACATATGATTTGAGCTGCAGGTAGGAAAATGTGGTTGTGGTGGGCAGTGTATAGTCTGCTTGGATGTCTGGTAGTGCTTTCAGTTTGCCTCTGTCAATGACCTGGTATATGTGGTGTATTCCCCCTCTTTTCCAGATGTCTCCATGAAATGTGGGTATTTCCATGCCTATTGTTTGTATTGGTGTGGCCATGGGCAATTTAGGGTTAGACACTAATTTGTTCCTCGTTGTGTTCCACACCCTCATCAGGTTCTGTGTGCTAGGTAACAGAGTCTCTCGTATGGGTTTTGGGCATTTCTGTAGCCATAATACTGCTCGGAGGTCGTGTTGTGGGGCCCAGTAGGATTCTATTGCTACCCATTGTGGGGCTTGGGCTGGGAGATTAATTTGGGCTATGTTGTGTAGGTACTCTGCCCTACAGTATGCTGTTAGATTTGGCAGACCCATCCCGCCTTTGCTCACCGTTTGGTGTAGTGTTCCTGCTGCTATACGTACCTTTTTCCCTTCCCATATGAATGTGTTTAGGATGTGTTGCATGTTTTTTAAGAACCGTTTCGGGATGGGTATTTGTAGTGTGCGAAAGAGATATTGGATTTTAGGTATGAGTGTCATCTTTACTGCTGTCCATGATAGACATTTTCCTCTCCACTTTTGTATTGTGTCCATGATTTCTGTTTGTATTCGCTCGTAGTTTAGTTTAAAGAGATGTGCCGGGTTTTTGGGGAGCTTAAGTCCCAGAAACGTCAAGTAGTCGTTTCTCCAGTACAGTGGGAATGCCGTCTGCAACCTGCCCATCAAATCCGTGCTCAGTCCCATCCCCAGGGCTTGTGTCTTGGTGATATTTAGCTTATAGTATGAGACCTCCACATATTTACGTATTTGTGCCATTAGGTTTGGCAGTGATGTGAGGGGTTGTGTGGGCGTCACTAGGATATCGTCTGCAAAGAGGTTGAGTTTGTACTCTTTGTCTCCCAAGGTTATTCCCTTCATGGAGCGATTTGCTCTTATTGCTGCTGCCAGCGGCTCCAGCGCTAGAAAGTACAGTAGCAGGAATAGGAGGCAGCACTGTCGCGATCCATTGGTTATTTTAATTTGTTTAGATATAAAACCTGCGTTGAGCACTCTTGCTGTGGGGTGGGAGTACAATGCCTTCACTGCTCTCAAGAACCTCTGGGGAAATTTGTATTTTTGGAGCACAGCTTCTAGGAGTGGCCAGTTTACATAGAAACATAGAAACATAGAATGTGACGGCAGATAAGAACCATTTATTGGGCCCATCTAGTCTGCCCAATTTTCTAAATACTTTCATTAGTCCCTAGTCTTATCTTATAGTTAGGATAGCCTTATGCCTATCCCACGCATGCTTAAACTCCTTTACTGTGTTAAAGATGGTCAAATGCTTTTTCAGCATCCAGGGAGAGGAGGACCCCCCTCCTGGCTACGAAGTAAGCTTTGCATTAGGTCCACTACCTTCCTTGTATTATCAGACCCTTGTCGCCCAGTGGTGAAGCCCACTTGGTCGTCGTGTATCAGCGTGGGGATGGTGTGGGTCAGCCTAGTGGCTTGGATTTTTGCATATAGTTTAGTGTCAGTGTTGAGCAGTGAAATTGGTCTAAAGTTTTGGCTGCAGGTGGGGGGTTTTCCCGGTTTAGGTAGCGTGACTATGTGGGCTCCTA